CCCCAAAACCCCAAAACCCCAAAACCCCAAAACCCCATACCGTCTAATTTTATAGTGAATTAGGAGTGTTAATAAAATATAAGTAATAATATTTATAAAGATTAGGAGTAGGAAAAAACATGATATCCCTATTTGAGTTGAAAAACAAAGGAGTTTTTAAGATCTTCATTCGCATACCCTTCTACATAAAAAATATCTTTTTACTAGTGTCACTGATCATGATCTAAGCTGTAATATACATTGTATATTTTAGGAAAGATGGACTTTCTGTATAGAACATCACAAAGGTACTCAAGGGATTGAACTCAGAGACTTTCAACTATCTGGAGGCACACTCAGATAGTCTCAGACTTACCAAGCTACTTAATAACTATTAACTGCAAATCACAAGTAATCACTTTATGGATGAATGCCTAAGAATAAACAAGCCATGTAAGTTTGAGGGCTTGGCTTTGGAATGGGGAGCTTCCAAGAATTGGCAATTCGGTGAAGAAGGCTACGACTACCTGATTGATAAGTTTGGAGACTAATAGGTGAATGTTTACGAGTCTAAAGCAGATGAATAGGATGTGAGACTAAGTTAGACTTATTTCGATAGTTTTAAGAGTGGCAAAGAAAAGCTCATGACTTACAAAGAGTTTGTGCAAAAGATGAGCACTTCTTAAAATGATTTAAATCTTAGAGAAGGGGATTTCAAGACTTATGATAAGTTGAAGGATGACGTCGAAAACCCATCATTTATGAAGGATATTAACAATTTCTACAAGGTAGAGTTAATCCAGGGCACTTAGTATGTTCAGCAGCCAAAGTATGATAAAGATGAGCAGATTCTTTGCTAAGTTGATGGAGTCCTTTAAATTAAGCTGATTCCACACGTGTACAGATAAGAGTTATATACTGGTAAAGATAGAGTGATTATGGATACAGAGGCAGAAAAGAAAGTTGTGATTAGAGTCGATAAACTAAACGAGCAGTGCTCTCCGGTCAACTTCTTTGAACCAGACGATGAGAGTTATCCCTTATTCTAAGATATCGATAAAAAGTACACAGTATTATTGCATGAAGGCGACTGTCTATACATTCCAGCTTTTTACTATTACTAATTCATTGCAAAAACTTAGCAGCAACCAGAAGCCAAAGGACTAAAGCCCAGCTCTATTTCAGTGTCTCTTAAATATCATGGAAATAGCGTGCTCTTAGATACTTTTATGAGAGCCATAGAGCAGAAGATCTTAACATGAATGAATTTTATGTAGATAACAAAGATAATTGCGTAAACATAATAAAACCCAATATATATTCACACTATTTTAACTATAATCTTGCTTGATAATAGCGAGAACAATGAAACTTAAATAATTGAGAATTAATCTTAAAATTTAATCAATATTCTTCCTGCTCGGCATTTCCTCCATCAGGGTTTTCCTCTTGCTAGACTACTACTTCTTCAAATAGTGGAGTGGGTTCTGGCTGTTCAATCCATTCATTGCCTGGGTCATCTAGAATCATTGGAGGGTGTACTGGGTAGTAAGACTGAGTCTCATACTTTAATCCATTTCCTACATAAATACTCAGATATCTGCCTTATGAGTAAAAAGTGAATGAACCTGGCCACTATAGTGACCTAACTACTACAACGCCATAGTTAACAGTCTTCTTAGGGTTTGTCTGATGTTAATAGACATTTTTATCTCCCATCAGCTTCACTATCCAAGCGGGATGTTTAGCGTTGCCTGCTACATTTACAGGGCTATCTTGAGAAATCAGCTTTAGTCTTTTCTCAGTTGGATCACTTTCTTCTAGCTTTTTCATAAAATACTCTTCGTCTTCTCCGTCCTTTGCATCTGCTGGGACAGGTGGTTACATATGAGTGATTCTGCCTGCATTTAGAATACTCTAGGAATAGTGAGCCCAGCTCTTAGACTGTGCCATATCATGGGTGCTTGGTATTCTTACTTCAGTCTCATCTCCCTCTGGGGTGGCATCTTCGATTTCCTTTGGGTCTTCAGACACTTTATATAATGAAGCAGGGACTACATTGGTAGAGTGGTAAATTCTTGCTATTTGCGCTCTTAGATAGTGCTTCTCTTGACCAAAGAAGTAGGGATTGGTATATATGAGTCTATCTAGATTGCCTGTAAATAGAACCTTGACTTATCTGGCAGCTCTGATGTCTTTTGGCAGTAGATCTGGGAGTTTAATCCACTTATCGAATACATTATTGGTAACCCAGTAGACGAACTTGTTTACTCCTGTACCTCTTGCCTCGAAGTCTTCTGGCTTCTCTCCTTCGTCTTCAGTTCCTTCCTGACCCTCAGCAATGTAGTAGTCACTCTGAGTGCCGTGAATCTTGCCAAAGAATCTGATGTTGCCTGCCCCTGTGTCAAGAGCCAATTTCTACACTCAAATTTAAATTCAAATTAGTCTCAAAATAGTTACTTGCAAATGCTTATATTAATTGACTTACCTTGAGCGACTTGAGAATTCTATAGGACTCGACTTCTCCGAAACCGATTCCAGCCCACTCAAATATCTTGGAATCATTCATTAGATCTGAGACGTTGCCAGTTGCAGCTGGTGGCTCATCTGAAGCGCCTGCTCCCTCTTCCTCCTCGTTTTCAGCGGGTGGTTTCTGTAATGGCATTAATTCGCTTAATGAAATATTTTACTCTGAAGAATGTCACCAATTTTTCTAGGTATTATTTTTGAGAAGCAGATAGCTGGTCATATTCTTTTCTTTCCTCGAGAACTAAGTAATCATTGATCTTATAACCTGATCCGTTGTGTTTGACCAAGAAAGATACTTCCTCTAACTTGTCAAGAGCTTGATCTGGATAGTGTAGGATAAGCTTTTTGAATACCTCCTGCAAGTGAGCATAGAGGTCTTAGCCATTAGTGGACTTGGCATTCTTCAAAAGGGTCTTCAGATTTTCGTATTACTTCACATGAGTGCCTCCTAAGGCGTTCGAGCCATGATGAGCTTTATGATGTTCAGCCGTTGCCATTTTCTATTTTATTTAATATTATAAGAATTAAGAAGGAAAGAATATAATTAAATTTAAAATTCTTGAAATATTTAAGTTATCAAGACTACTTTAAAAATGTCATTTAACGTTAACAATAGCAGTGGCTCTCATGTCATGATCATTGACCATTCCAAAGCAGACAGCACAGGAATTTTTGCCTAAGGGGGTAAGGGTATGCGCATTTTCATTAATGGCATCAACAGTCTGATTGGCTAGAGTCTGTTTGAAGAACTGAGAAATGATCACATTGCCATTCACACGGGTGAAACTCCTCACAAGTTCTTTGGAACAATCAATCAAAAGGATGCAGACACAATTCCAGTGCCCTCCCCATCCATCAAGATACTCAATTCAAAGTCAAAGCCTAGAAACTTTAGAAAGCAAATATCCACCTGCGATGTGTTCATCCTAGATCTGATGAGTTCAAACGGAGAATACGAGGAAGTGGAATTCATACTTAAGACGCTTAAGAATCCACCTGAGGAGTTTAAAGCAAATGCACCACAGAGTCAAACAGTGATAATGCTCACAACTGTAATGACCTGGATCAATACTCCTAAAAAGCTTAAGAAGAACTTCCCTAAAGCAAGACCTGAGGACTCAGACTTGGAGGAGGAGACTAAGAGTAGAAGACTTGTAAGAGAGGATGAAAGCGACTCTGATGAAAGAAATGAACTCAAGAGAATTCCTGAAAATGAAAAGGTGCTGTATTTCACTGATAAGGATTATCAAACTAGAGTCCCTCCCCCCAGATATCAATAGATCAAGAATCTGGAAATGCTTGCTATGTCTGCTAATAAGGCTGTCAAGAATCTCAGAGTGCACATACTATGCTCTGGTTTACTCTACGGAAACGGAGAAGCCAATAATGTGTTCTATGAATTCTTCAGAAGAGCTTGGCTTTCTATGCATTAAGAACTGGCTTCACTTCCTATCATTGGCAGTGGTGTCAATAGAATACCTACTATTCATGTTTTAGATCTTGCCAGGTGCATTAGGCTAGTAATATAATCAAGGTATCTCTAGCAGCAATATTTGATAGCTGTTGACGGTGCTGTGCGACAAACGTAGAAGAAAATAATGAAAGCAATATCAGCAGGTATGGGAAGCGGGTTGTTCAAGCATGTGGAACTAGAAGAGGTTGTCGATGAGGACTGGTGCGAATACATCTCTCTCGACTTAAAAATGAAGGCATCAGACATTTTCAGATCTGCTTCATTCTGGCATTGCAAGGAGGGCATTAGAAAGCAAACAATGTCCTTGCTTAATCAAGAATTTAATTTATACAGAGGTCTCTTTCCATTGAAAGTCTTTGTAACTGGTCCTCCTGCATCTGGCAAAACCCATTATGCATCTTATCTGGCTTAAGCCTATGGAGTGCCCCATCTTAAGATTAACGATCTGATTCAAATGGGGTTGAAACTTTCAGATACTTTTGGAGAAGAAATTAAGAAAAAGATCGAGGAGATGAAGGATTAGATTGTGGCAGACTATGAAAAGACTAGAAAGAAGAAGGACCCTGAACTTGACAGAAACACCATCAAGGTCAGACTGCCAGATGAATATCTTTACCGACTTGTCAAGTTGCAGATGCAAACAGCTGCATGTAGGAATAAAGGTTTCATATTGGATGGTTATCCACGTAACGTCAATGATGCTAAGAATATCTTTCTCAGCAAGGCCGATGACTACCAACCATCACTTGATGCTGAGGGTTAGGACATAAACCCATATCCAGGTTATCAGGTAGATCAATCTATACTGCCTTAGTACGTGATTGTCATTCAAGGAGATGATGCTCATTTGAAGTAAAGAGTGAAGGAGTTGCCTGCTGAGAAGACCATAGATACTCACTTCAAGGATCCTGATATGGACAGAAGACTGAAGATTTACAGAGAGTTGAATGTTCATGACTCAGGAAACAGTGTTCAATGTCTCTTTACTAACTTGATTGGAAGAGAGAATGTCAAAGTAATCACAAGTCAAGAGGATGAATAATCTAACAATCAGAAGCTCCAAACATTTATAGAGAAAAATGGTAAACCATGCTGTCTAAACCTAATTACTGAGAAGGACGTTAAATTCCTTAAATCAATAGATAAAGACAAAAAGAGGCAAGCAGCAGATAAGACTCACTAGAGTATCCCTGCCGAGGAGGGCAAAGAGGAATTGAAACAAGAAGATGATGAAGATGTCGATGAAGTAACCAAGATCATTAGAAGAGAGGAAGAAGAAGTCAAGCGCAGAGAGGCTGAGGACAAGGAAAGAAAGAGAGTAGAGGCTCTGGAATCAGAATAAAAGAGAATCAAAGATGAGTCTGATAAAGTCAAGTTAGAGCAAATCAGACAATAGGAAAGAGACCTTCTAGATACAAGGTCATAGCCAATCAGACAGTATCTAATGGACAATGTCGTGCCACATTTAACACAAGGACTAATAGAGCTTTGCAAGAGAGTGCCAGTTGAGCCAGGCGAATATCTAGCTGACTTTCTGTTGAAAAAGGCAGATGAGATTGACTAGCAAAGAATACTCGAAAGAGAGGCTTAACTTAAGGCTAAGTTAGAAGCTAAGGCTGCTAAGTAGAATTGATTGATTAATTTACTCATTTCTTGTCTAACTGTTTGATTGGATCATCTTAACTATATTATTTACAATAAATTTAGCACTTCATAATTCAGTATTATACTCAAGAGGGGTTTTGGGGTTTTGGGGTTTTGGGG